CTGCAGTGCAGTGGCATGAACACAGCTCACTGCAGCCTCGACCTCCAGGACTCAGATGATCCTCCTGCCTCAGTCCCCCAAGTAGCTGGGACTATAGGCATGTACCACCATGGTTGGCTAATTTTTGTGTTTTTTGTAAAGACAGAGTTTTGCCATGTTGCCCAGGCTGGTACAAATATAGCTTTACTTTTCTGTTTGTAAAAGTAATGCATGCTTATGAAAATTGTTCTTAAAAAAATCACATACCATGCAATGACAGGAAGAATCATCCCAAGTTAAATACCGCTTGAACTAATGTGCTCTCTTGTCACTTGGCTATGAAGAATACAAGTGCTAGGTTTCAGTATTGGCATCTTATTACCTTGTCTTTTAAAATCGGATCGTGAAACTGGTATCCTTTTCAATTTGCTGCCAATCAATTATGCATTAATTGATTTGAATTCAGTTCCTTCTGTTGTGGTAGATTTGCTTCTGCATGGTATGATTTCAAGTCGCTCATTGCCTGCATTCAGGACAGGGTAGTTTTTGGGGTCATCTCAGCCAGGCTGAATTGACCTGAAGATGTCTATAAGAGTAAAAAGCTAAGTAAATATCAAGAACAATTTTTAGCATAAAATTCGGTGTTAAGATTCATTGAGATCTAATCAATAGAACAGAAGGTTCTGTAAATGCATCCATCTTATGGGAAAAACTTAGGTCATAACCATTGTTGGTAAAGGAGGAAATTTTTCTTAGTTCCTCTGCACTTTCCCCAATCATATTAATGTTACACGTCTTTGATTGTACTTGAAATGATTGTAATAATAATAAGAGAGCCTTAAGAGTTTGTTGGTCATAAAAACATATGACATTTTAAAACCTTGATTGGATTTTTAATTGACATATATAACTATTAAATATAAGATTATAGATCCCAAATATCAAATTAACTTTAGCATTTACAATTTTCCTTTGTCTCCTCTAAGCAGCCACAATTTCCAATGTAGCACATAATGAGGTAGTCACAGTTGCAAATCTATGTCTGCATATTTTATAACTTGAGAACATTTTTAAACTCAGTATATAGGTTTGTGTGGATACTGTATCAATGTTCACAAAACAAGGCAAATGGAAATAAAGCAAAAATATTGTTAATGTGTAATAACATTGTGCTAACAGAATGGGCAATTTGAAACAATGCCATTAGTGACTCCACTATCTAGCACAACAGTTATACATAGTGTGTAAGTTCACATTTCAGATAAGTGATATCCATCTTTTTAAATACCAAAACTTAGGTTTAAAGAAGTTTCTGAGATATGCAGAATTCTGCCTCTCAGTAGGCTTTGAGAATATGTTACTCCTCAGGACTCAACGTGTCATAAGCATCACTGATTATTTTTTATGTCTGTCCTAAACTGCAGAAACAGTTTCAGAAATGCTGGGTTATTTGGTTTTGAGTCCTAATCTTATTACTGTAAAAGTCACACATGTTCATCCATCGTAGAAAGTTCTCCAAAGTGCAATCACATATAAAGAAGCAGATAAAAATCATCCTCAATCTCACTCTCCAGAAGTAATGATTATTAACAGTTTCATGATCTTTTAACACACTGCATTAAGTTTCCCAGAGCTGCCGTCACAAATTACCACAAACTGTGTGACTTAAAACAACAGAAATTTGTTCTTTTACAGTTCAGGAGACCAGGAATCTAAAATTAAGGCATCAGCAGGGTTGGGTCCTTCTGGAGGCTCTCAGAGAGTCTGTTCCATGCGTCTCTCCTGGTTTCTGGTGTTTGCCAGCAATCTTTGGCTTGTAGACACATCATTCCCGTCTCTGCCTCTGCCATCACATGGTCTTATTCTATGTGTGTGTCTTTCTCTATCCTCTCCTCTTTTTATAAGGACACCAGGTATTATCTATAGCCCATCCTAATCCAGAATGACTTCATCTCAGCTAATTAACATCTGCAAAGATTCTGTTTTCAAATAAATTCATATTGTGAGGTTCTGGGTGAACATGAATTTGTGGGGGACATTTATTCAACCCACTACACACACTGTAATATATACTTATAGAATCCAGAAAAGGGGACCATAATTTATATATAGCTTAGTTCCCTTTACACTTAGGATACCATAAATTTCCCTAGGTCTTTCAAAAATAGAATTTTAAATTTTTGTAGGGTGTTTCATCATATGAATATTACATCATTTCCATAGCTAACCTGCTACTTCAAACACTCAGATGGTTTCCAGACTTTACTATTATAAATGGCTCTGATGAATATACATGTTCCCAAATCTTTGAATTTATCTCTGCTTATGTCCTTGGTATAAATTATTCTGAGTCGAATTATTGGATTAAGGGGTATGAACATTTTAAGGTTCATGAAAAATCTTGTTTAATTGAATTCCAGAGATTCTATCAATTTGACATCACCAGCAGAAGAACCCATGGCATTGCATTCTCTCCACTGCATGTTCTAGCTTTTTGAGTGTTGTACAAGTGACTAGGCAAAGAAATAACATCCTTACTTTGTGACTTCTATTTTTAATGTAAGGTTGCCTCTTTGTTTATTGACCATTTACGTATCTTTTTTAAGTTACCAGTTTATGATTTGTAACTCCTTCTCAATTTATTTCTTCTCTCTCCAACTGCCAGTATTTATTTCTTACCATCTCACTGATGAGTATACTGTCCACCCCCACCCCTTTTAGAGTCCACTGTTACCTAAGAAACTATGTAGATGTATCCTCCCTCTCCTTTTCCCATCCTCGAATCACCTCTGAACCTTGTACAAATGTCAATCGTTGCCTCCACTGGGTCTTAATTGTTTACATTTCGCTTTCCCTTCTAAGACTTTGAGCACTTTGGGGCAATGTCCATGTCTTTTCTGTGTTTTTGTATCTTCAGCAACTAGCATAGATGCTCAATAAACATTCATTGAACTGAGTTGTTAGGTTGTGACCTGGAAATATTCACGATTCCTTGTATAGATAGAAATAGCTAAATAAGGGTATATAAGAATAGACTCTAAATGGCACTCAATAGTGTGCATAGGGCTGGGCGTGGTGGCTCCTGCCTGTAATCACAGCACTTTGGGAGGCAGAGGCGGATCTCCTGAGGTCAGGAGTTAGAGACCAGCCTGGCCAACATGGTGAAACCTCGTCTCAACTAATAATACAAAAAATTAGCTGGGTGTGGTGGTGCATGCCTGTAATCCCAGCTACTTGGGAGGCTGCGTCACGAGAATTGCTTGAATATAGGAGGTGGAGGTTACAGTGAGCTGAGATCACATCACTGCACTCCAGCCTGGGCAATGGAGCAAAACTCTGTCTCCAAAAAAAAACACAAAACAAACAAACAAAAAAAACAAAGCATAGGATTTAATCCATGAATTTTGTATTTCTATGCTAAATTTTTAGAAATAGTAAATTTTTTCTCCCATATTTCTCAGCTGTATCTGAGATAATTGAGGCTGAGTAACATTGTCTAGATAGGCAAAATGTTAGTGATAATAAGCATAATAATAATAGTAATAATGGAATGAGAATGTTAAAGTACTGAGATCAGGATAAAAGTTACAATTGTCCAGATTTTAAATTTCCTATCGTTTCCACTGAAATCACTGACTGTACTTATAATATTAGCAGGAATTTATGCAATTTGTAGGTTTTGGAATAAATTACCATTCAGAAGTCAACCGTGAAAAACAGTGTAACTGTACTTGAAAAATCCTTTGAAAAACTCAAGTTTCCACCAAACCTAGAAGCACATGGGTGGTAAAACGTAGTTTGGAAAGTTATGAGAGATGATGACTACAAGGAACTTTTTATAAACATCTTTTATAAGCATTACTCTGTGGTCAAATTTATTTTCACATGGATATTAACACAAGTTATTGCCACAAATGGGTTTCTGTTCTGATCCTTTTTTTTGCCTCACATGTCCTTTCTCTTCCACCCGGTTCTGCTTCACTCTCCTTCTCTCATCACAGACAAGAAAAATGCCACCTCCCCTAGGACCCACTCCAAACCCTGTTTCCTGAATGATCAATGTCTTCCCCCATCGCAATCAAAAAAGCACTTTCTATTCTGTCTTCATGACACACTGGTTTTGACACTTGCATAGCTCTTAGTAATTCTGCAATGTGCTCGAGCTATTTGTGAGCACATGTATTTTTCCTTTATAGTTTGTAAACATCTAAAGAACAGAGTTAACCCAGGAGCCAAGAAAATAGTTAAATATTATTTTGACAATGGCTGTAATAGTGGACATTTGAAAGGAATACACCATCAGTATTTTGAAATTGAAATAATTTTCTACACCTAGCATTTCTGGACTCTCAACAGCCCACCCTTTTAAAAACTGTGACGACACTATTTTACCGTAAAGATCTGCCCAGACCCTCTGTAATACACCTGCGTAAATGCCACGTGCATGTGAGCATACGACGGTGTGTGTGCATGGCTGTGCACGCCTGTGCAGTGGTAATCAACCATGGTGCCAGGGTTTGAAAGCAGAAAATCCATCAATCGACCTCCAAGCTTCTTTCATCCCAGTTCTTAACATCTCAGTCTCTTGAGTGCTGAGGCTTATTTTGTTCAAGATGGTTTTAGACTCTTCTGAGTGCAACGCAATCTCCTTCCAGCACGGCGGAGCGAGGAGAGGTGAGGGGAGAGTTTTGAGGGTGGGCATATTGATCCTATGCTTGCTGAATTAAAAATGAGCCAACTGAGGACAATTTCCAGGTTGCAACACAGACGGAGCTAGAGTCTGGGTTGAGGTCGGAGGAGCCGTTAGGGCGCAGGGATGCAACAGGATTTGGGAGAAAGGGGAGAGAAAGCAAGGCCACTTCTAGGGGGCTTTGATTTTTTTTTTTTTTTAATCCTGGCAGCTTCCCGAGCCAGATTTCAAAAGCGATTTCAAACGTGAGGCCAACTAAAGCACTGCCTTACACTAATTGGAAGGGGAAGGGAGTGACTCATATTACACCAGCTCGCTCTTCCCTCTCGGCAACTGCTAACTTGTAGCTTTAAAAGGAAGTGACATGGGTGGGGAGAGACGTCAGCTGAGGACCACTTTTTTTTTTTTTTTTCTTCCTGAAGGGTCCACCCCATGGGTGGAGTCTCGCTTTTTCTTTCCAGTGTTGGCTGACTTACAGCTCTTATAAACTAGTGGCAATTTCTGAACCCAGCCGGCTCCGTCTCAGCTTCTGGTTTCTAAGTCCATGTGCCAAAGGCTGCCAGGAAGGAGGTAGGTGCTCCTGGTGCCGTTCGCAGGCACCTTTCCCGCTGGGTGTGGCTGATGTTTGCATTCCTCTTCCTATCATGTTTTCTCTCCTGGGCTGGATTTCCTTAGGACCTCTGGAAGGGGTAGGTTTCGGGGGAGGGGGAGTGCAAGGCGAGCGGGGGAAAGGTGCAGGGGGCGCCTGGAGGAAGGCGAAGAGAGGCTCTGCTGGTACAAAAGGATCCTCGCTTTGTGCTGGGCCGGGTGAGCGTCCCTTTCTGGGCTGTGATTTCAAGCTGCTGTTCCTGGCTTCATTTACCCACCCACCCAGCCCCCTCCCGGGGCTAAAGCATTTTCTCTGCCATAGACGAAGCTGGGCGCGGGGTGGTGGTGGGGGGAATGTTCCTATTACATATTGCTCTCTTCTGTGTCATGCAACATGTTCTTCCGTCGCTGACGTTTCTATGGCAACCACAAAAATACTACACAATATGCAGCCCTGATATACATTGATTTATTTGTATTTCGTGTCTCGTTTGCAGCTTTCTGCTCTGCTTCTTGCTTTGGTTTGCTAAAATCCAGCCTGGCTTGTGGCTACCCCTCCTCACTTTCATTTTGGTTTTTCCCTATCACAGGAGGGGTGGGGGAGGGGAGTTGTCAAGGAAACAGGCATTGGTAATTACCTCTCTATTTACCTAATTTTCGGCCTATGAATTTCTCCATCATATCGAGGAATTAAAAAAGGAATGCTTTGATGTTTATGTAAGTCTTCAGTGTCTGGTCTTTTTTTAGAAAACCTAAACACTTCTCAAGATATGATATTGATCCTGTGGTAAAGCTAAGGGGGAATTAATTCCTCACAGGAGGTGAGATCATTGAAATAAAGTTTTAGAGAGCGTTGGAGAATTCGCACTGATAAATGTGATATTGCCTGCCCAGGTTTGCCTAAAAGCCTAAATATTTAAAAGACGGGTCTTTGCTCTCGTCTGCACTTCTTTAGCTCCAAATCTTAAGTTCAACAAGTATGAGTAACAAATTAACTGCCCGACAGGATTCTCCGTTTTTCATTTTCGTGCATTGTTCTTAGATGGATTAGCCACGCTATTCACGCTCTTCAAGGTGAGGGTTGCTAGACTTTTTCAAAACTGTGGAAGGATTAACTCATCTGTGATTAGTCAACCACTCTCAGTTGGAAAAAAAGTATCTTGAGAGAAGGGAGGTGTGTGTTTGTGTGTGTTTGTGTGTGTGTGTGTGTGTGTGTGTTTAGGGACATGGGAGGCAGGCAGGGAGAACAGGCAGAGTTCTACGTTAAAAGGACTACATCTTCTGAATGTTCTCTCTGGGGAGAAAAATTGATATTGAGAAAAAATATGAAATGAGAAAATTATTATCTACTTAGTAATAAGCAAAGTTAATTATAATTAGAATCAAATAACACATCTCTTAGAAAGATGTAGTCCCAATAGGCCTCTTAACAGGTACCGGCTAAACTGATGCTTTTATTCGGTACGTCTAAGGAAGTGTTTGATAAGGGATACCATTCTTCTGACGGGCATCCCAAATAATTAGCCTTTATAAAACAGATAAGTAGTAATCCCATTCTTGACTCTTAAAATTATCTATAATTTAGGATAAACATGTGTGAAGGTCACTTAGCCCTCATCATACCTTCCGGCTGCTAAAGCCAAAATCATTACTTATAAACCTCGAGCAACCCTGCCATGTGGAAGCAGGAAGAACGGGTGGTTTCAATGAGGTTCTGTTTGCTGTGATCCTTATCTAAATATGCTATCATCTATGTCTTATAAAATCTGCTGTAAATCCAGAGGTCCTAAGTAATTCAGGTAGAAAAGTTACCTGAAAATGGGGCAAAATAGCATATGGCAGAAAACAAACTAGAGCTACATAGAGTTAAAGACGAGAACTATTTAAAGGGCATAAAACATAGAAAAGTATTACTAAAAAGAATATGACACTCATTTTGAAAAGCACATGTTAGTACACAGAGAAACGGTTGGATTGTGAGTGTTTGATGTTTGCAAAGAATTCTGAAAAGCAGCCAGGCTTAAATTACTGTTTTTCCTGCCTGTAAATGGTCCTCAAGGGCAGATTTGCCACATGACCTTCCAAAGCAGATTGACAGCATGTAAGTCAAAGTCTGCCATGTCGGTTCTCTTGAGTTTCCAGACTCAGCAATTTCACAGCAAAAAAGCCTAATGGAATAGAATTCGAAGGAAAAAGAGCAAGACTTCCTCGGAAGCATAGCCAAAACAGAAACAACAAAAAACCCAAACCCAATGCACAAACAAAACACTTTCTGATATTCAGACGCAGAGTAGAGGTTCAAACAGTTAGCAGCTTTGGCCTGGGGAAGCTAAGTGGAGCTATGAGTAGAAAGTAAATGTAGGGGTCCCATGGAAGAGGCCGACAGGGGTGACACCCAGAGGGTGAGTGAGTCGTCACTGTATTGGGATTTCACTGTCTGGGAGGCTCTGCTGTGGAATTGGTGAAGAAGGCAGCAGTTGTTGTCTGTGCTCTCAAGTTTAAAATCCACCAAACAGCGGTGGCGAAGAGATGAGCACACAGCTGGAAGGAAGGGGAAAGCAACAGCCAGTCAAGGAGATGCAGTTAGTATGAGAAGAACACTAGTGGGAGAGTCCTGATCCTGCTGCCGAAGCTTTATAGGAGAGGAGGCAGATGGTTCAAGGGAAGAAGGAGAGGGTGTCCTAGATAGCAAAGATGGGTGGTAAGAAATGGATCATGGTTCAGGGTTCTTAACTCCAAAAAGGGAGAGGTCAGTCTTTAGTGTAGAAGTAGAGCAGGTACACTCTGTGCTGGTTGAAAGCGTAAGTAGATGTAGATTTGGGGACGAGTTTTTCTTAATCAGAAAAAGAAAGACTATTGGAAGAAAGACTGAACAGAAGGCAAAATTCTTCCTAATCCAATATTTTTTTAGCTTCATCTTAACAACAAATGGCCAGACTTACACTAGACTGTAAACAGATACGAAACTGGGGAAGAGGGAACCAGGAACTTACCCAGAATGTCATCTTCATAATTCCTGCCATTGCCGTTGTTTTAAATTATTGGATACTCAAATGAGGGTTTGGTAAATGTCACACATGTTGTGCAGTCTCCTTTATTGTGGAAAGGAGGTCCAATGGTTATGGGACAAAGCTGCATTCACATTTCTTTGTTTTTTAAGATGAAGTCTTGCTCTGTCGCCCAGGCTGGAGTGCAATGGCGTGATCTTGGCTCACCACAACCTCCCCCTCCTGGATTCAAGCGATTCTCCTGCCTCAGCCTCCCGAGTAGCTGGGATCACAGGCATGTGGTACCACGCCCAGCTGATTTATTTTTTATTTTTATTGTATTTTTAGTAGAGATAGAATTTCACTATATTGGCCAGGCTGGTCTCAAACTCCTGACCTCAGTTGATCCACCCACCTTGGCCTCCCAGAGTGCTGGGATTACAGGCGTGAGCTACCACGCCTGGCCCACATTCACATTTCTGAAAGGTGTTTGACATCTAAATCTTTGGAGAAACGCCTTTCATCACTCATATTTTGAAATATAATCATAATAATCATGTAACATTTCCTAGAGCTTGGGCAACTCAAATTCATTATTCTTTGTGTGTGAATCAGTTTGGAAAGGAAGCGCTGGAACTCTGAAATCTGGCTTCATGCATGGGCTTCGGTCTCCAATTGCTGCCTGGCTGTAGAAAAGAGGAAGCTTAAAGCATGAACTCTTTCTTTCAACAGATGTTTATTATGTGTTTAATATGTGTCAGGTCCCACAGATGCAACTGTGAGCAAAACAAGATACAGTTTAAATAGTTATAATTTTCAAATGTCTAAAGGGTTTCCAAGGGAAACCCCATGACTGGCTGATACCCATTTTCTTCTAATGACTGAATAAGAGGAAATACCTTAAAAGGAGTATAATTTTTTGTTAACATTATCATGGAACAATCCATCTAACCTGTCTTCTTTTCCTTGGCTCTCTCTTGCTTCACAAAGATTTCCCGTCGGTTTCATTATTTGTCTTAACTTGTTTCTCCAATCTAATTTGCTCTACTTCTTCCCTTGATCATACGTCCTACCTTTCAGTCACCGTTCCTTCATCCATTCACACATACATGATACATCCATCTGTCCTCCATCCACCCATCCATCCCTTCATTTATTCAACAAATAGTGTTGACTATCATGTCTCAGGCACTATATATTATAGACATAGCAATAAATGGGAAACTGGTTCTTCCTTAAAGAAGCTTAGGATCTATCAGGAAGACAATGTGGAAACAGCCCCCTAAACCATGGCGGTATGACTTTTTTGGGGGGTGGGCAGGGTCTCGCTCTGTCACCCAGGCTGGAGTGCAGTGGCGCCATCCTGGCTCACTGCAACCTCTAACTCCTAAGCTCAAGCAGTCCTCCTGCCTCAGCCCCCCTCCTCCAGCAGCTGGGACTACAGGCGTGAGCCACCGCGCCTGCCCTGGGGTATTCTAATAGAAGCATTTATTGGCTAATGAAACAGGATGCTTCTGTCATTGAACAGTTTTATAAATCGTTCACACACAGCATAAACTGTGCTGGGCAGGGAGGGATCAAGTGGTTAGCTGTTGACTGGTCCATTTTGTATATTTTTTGTATCTTCCACGCTGCTTGAGCGTAAGGATGATAAACATTTGTTCGTTAACTAAATGGGAAGAGTGGAATTTCTAATACAGGAGACGCAGAGGAAGAGAAGGCTTGTGTATTCTCTTTCTGAAAGAAGCTGAGAGAGAGAATCTCTCAAGATTCCCTTTGGTAGTGAATTACTCATAGATTTCCAGGTGACAATAGCTGCCCCCACATCGACTCAAAGTATAGCATTTTAAAAATGAAAAACTACCTGTGTCCAATTACATACCCATTAGTTTACTGAATATCCTCATGTCCTTTGGAGCTGATTTCTCATAACACACTGCAAGTCTGTGTCTTGCTCTGATAAAAACAAGTGGGTTTCAACCCCCTACACCTTTC